AGGAATTCTTTCCTTTTAAAGAAAATGAAAATTTTCATGAAAGGGTTAACTTTGTTATTATGTTTTAGCCTTTCTGCTCTCCATCCTTTTTCAGGTGCTTGTTGGTTCTGTTAACCTTTAAGAAATTTCAAACTGAACCCTTTATTTAATTTACAGGGGTTGATTGTTTTTGTCCATATATAGGGATATCAGGTTTAGTTATTATTTAGTACTACTCAGTGATTTCTCACCTTATTTCACTGAGTCCAAGTGCACACTGCCCAGCCCATGGATTGCACCCACAATTAATTTTTTTCATCGATTTGTTTTTTACAGCTTATCAACGTTTTGAAGGTTATTTAAAGCCAGAATATATTTTTAGAGTGTAAGAATTTTTTCACAGAGAAAGAGGATGTGGATTCATACCTTTCCCAAGGGTATTTGTGTATAAGTGAATATAATGACTAAGTGGAATTGGAACTCTGCTCTCCGATTTTCAGCTCCAAGTCATTGTCCATTACATCCTTGCACATCCAAGCTTACAGCACCTGGTATCCCCAAGTGGTCACCCATCGAGGTATTGACCAGTCTCAATACTGCTTAATTTTGGTGACCTTGCAATAACTGGTATTTCAACATGATATAGCTCTAAGTTGAACCAGCAATTACTATATAAACACATTCATGAACCAATGTTTTCATCCACTAAGCTAATGTCCCATGGTTACCCAGAAAGGTTACCCAGATTGACAAACACCTGATGAAGGCTGAATGGCACAATAGCTGAAACGTAATAACAACAAAAAAAGATGAGGTTAAATGTTCTGTAGCGAAATGACAAGTAGAGTTTTATTTGCCACCAAATATGCTAACGCACAATTTTTGGCTTATACTTGTGTACATACATAGAGTAAAAATTCTTACCAGGATTTATTATCAGCAAACAATCTTAACAATGTAAGAGGCACAAATGACAGTGTTGATAGTGAAATCAAAAAGGAAACCAGAAGAATTCTTAGGTAAAGTAGCAATGGAGAGCAATTTTAAGGTAGAATGCTTTTTCATCAGCGAAAGAAACATTCTGAGTATGAGGGAGCATAAGAATCAATCAGGTACAGAAATTTGACTATCTAGGTTGTATAATAACAGATGACAGAAATTATCAAGAAATCCAAAGGTGCATAGCAATAGCAAAAAATGTCTTCCAGAAACTAAGCAAAGTATAAAAACATAAGAAAATATTAGATACAAAGAAAAGCATACTGAACTGCAATGTTATATCTAATCATCTATATGGCAATGAATGCTGAACAATTTCCTCACAGATGAAAAAAACTTGAAGTAACGTATATGGTTTTACCAACAAATGCAGGGGCAGAACATGTGAGGAATGAGGAAAAAATAGGAAAAACAACAAAGCTTATACATACAACCAGAGTTGAAACTTCTGGGACAAAGGATGAAAAATGAGGGCCTAGAGAATTTAACACTCACAGGACCTACTGAAGGTAAGAGGAGTAGGAGGAAAGAACAATTAACCGACTTAATAAGTATGCAAATGGATAGTAGAACAGGAATGAAGAAGTGTCAAAAGTTACTTTGAGCAATGACCGGAAGATGTGGAGAGCCATGATCTTACTTATTGAGTGTGTGTGAATGGATAGCAGAACAATGAGAAAGATGGATAGTAAAGGGCCAAAACACATGTAGTTGTAGAGAGCCTTGATCACACATGCCTTGAAAGGACATGGCATATAAAAGAAGATGAAAGATAAAAATTTACATAAATTTTGTCGATGTGTTAATATCATTAATAAAAAGCTGCAATGATAAATGAATAGTTAAACAAGATGAGACTTGACATTTAAAATAGATTATGACAAATAGAAAAAATTACAAAAAAAGAAAAAAGAAAAAAAAAAAGAAAAAAAAGAAAAAAAGAGAAAGAAAAAAAGGACACTGAAGAATAAAATTTATTTCCTATGAAGTGGGTGCTGAAAAGTACTTGGCTTGATCAACCTCATTAATTCACCTCTGCTTTTGCCTAAGTGGATTAGCAGGACAGATGAATTTGGAATGCTATCAGGATGGCCATAGCTAGATTTGGGCTAGTGGATAAATTAGTTGTGATGACTGTAAGGTTTTACTAGATTAATCCCTCTTCCCATTTCACCCCCACCTACCAACTTTTAAGTGGATTGGCAAGAAGGATATGGAATGCTTTAAACTTGTCACTAGAAAAGTATTTAACCTGACCTACTTCTCAAAATCTGACCAAATGTCAACATTTTCTAGGAATCCATTCTTGGTTGGGCTGAGAACTTTTCAACACCCATTAAACAAAAACCCCCGAACCAAAGCTTCATCTTAAATATTGATTCCAGTTAATCAAAATACAGGTGTCATGTTTATCTACCGACAAGCCATTGCTATCAAAAATGCACATTTTCGCACTTTAGAAATGATTTTATTTTCAAAGTACAGCTAGTGTTACATTGGTAAATACGGAACCTCTGTTTTAAGTTCGACCTTTTACACTGATATTTTGAAATAATACTTGCAAGTACTTATAACAAAAAATTAATTCACTACATTAATTTTTCTATACATTTTTAAACAAATCTCTATAGCCTTCCAACACACGATTTTTCCTGTTTTATATTTTTCTAAGTTTGAGGCTTGGTTACATCAAAGCTGAGGATGCGACAAAGATGTGGTTAGTTAATGAATATTAAGGTTGTCTTGTTCGAGAAATTTACAGGAGGAGATTGCAGCTGAAGTGGATTTTTCAGTGCACCCACATTGCTAATGAATGTGACAGGCCAGTTTAAAGTGGGTTTTAATGGCAATAACATGAAATGGCTCAAGCCCCCCTGTCTCTTCCCCTTTTGGAGATGCCTCAGGTGCTGGGTAATAACCCCAACCTTCTCCCAAAGGAGAAGTACTGCCTTGGTGGTGGGGGGGATAACCTCCTTGAGGCTTGAGCTAATATTATTTTGAAACTTTCTTGGCCAAAGCCAGAAAGATTGCATCTGGAGATATGAATAACATAACCAAGACATGATCGAATTTTATTTTTTTTTTAATTAAATTGTTCACCCACAAGAGTGTTTCTAATTATGGTGGTTAAGCAGAGGAGGTAAGAAATGTAGTTTAAGAGGATGTGTAGAAAAGATGATAGTTAACCCTCAACTTGAAAATTATCCTGGAAGCATCCTCTTGGGATGCAATTCCACAAAACAGTGGTTCTTTTGAAGAAGCAGTCTGAATGAAACTTTCTTCTTACTAACAATACAAAGAGAATAGGGATGATTGTACATGGCATGGTGGATCTGAGCTGTGCAGGTCAGGGTCGGTGGAATGAAGGAATGTAGCTCATTAGATTATTTGCTATAGAAACAGTAGCAAGAGGCTTGTGACATTTCACGTGTGTGACAAGGAATGTAGAGTGGAAAATAATTCACTGCCCACAAGGCCATCAAGAACTATCAAGGCTAGAAAGTAGTGACTGGGCACCTCCAGCTCAGATATAGTAGCCATACTCTATTTTTGGTGTGACCTGTCTCTTGTAAAGATAGGGCATAGTAGGCGGAGTCAGGTACTTGAGTAGTGCAAGGAACTGATCATTTTTCCAGCATCTTTAGCAATAGATTGTATATGTGAGAATTGCACTATCATTTTTATAGAACAGAAGTAATTTAAAGCATCATAGACATTTGAAATGGCCAAACAAATGGAGGAAATTGTTGGCCAGATTGAAATAATGCCACTGTACACAGATAACAATAGCTCAGGACATGGTCTCTTAACAGTGGAACAAAAACTGTTGAGGTTCAACAATTAGTTTACATAAAGATTTGATTGCATACTACTTGACTTTGGTAATTACTTTGGGTTTCTCCATAGTACTTTGTCCAGAACCAGATGGCTATTCCTGGTCATGTCTAAAAAATACTTTAGTGTGACCTTTAAATAAATAGGTCAGTGTAATGAAAAGTAAACACATGATTTCATCTGTTTCCAATCTTATCAAAAACTATTACTCAGGTCATCCCTGTTTTGAAAAGGGAATAGGGAATTTTTTTTTTTATTGATGGATTTGTTTCCTATGGATTACTAACCCTTTTGCAGGTTATTTAAAGCCAGAAAATATTTTTAGATTGAAAAAATATTTTTTGAAATAATGATTTAGTGATACAAGTCTTACTGATTAGTGTATAGCTGGGTAGAAAAGAGGTAGATTCTTACCTTTCAAAAAGGTATTTGTGCATAAATAAATATAATGAACCCAACTGGAATTGGAACTTGGCTCTCCAATTAACAATTCTGAGCCATTATCCATTACACCACTCACACATCCAAGCTTATAACATTTGGTATTCCTTAGTGGACACCCATCTAGGTACTGACCAGGAAAAGGGAAGTGGATAAAATAAAGAATCAAGAAAGAAAAATCTTATGTCAAAGATAAAAACTAAAAAATTCATAATGCAAAACGTTTGAAGACATTCTTTCATGAGCTAATCTTTGTAAAAAACATTGCCCTAGTTGGAATTATTGCAGAAATGTCTAAATAGTTTTTAAGTTCAGTAGTTTCTTTTTAGTGAACAACAATTTCCAGTACAGGTTTCATCTTGGTTATCAGGCATACGTTGGTCAAACGTACTAATTTGAAAATCTGTCATTAAAATTATTCAATTAAGTTTCAAAATGTTACATGAAACTCAATTGAAGAACTTTTGATTCTTTGAGCAAAAATGTTCAGACATGTATTTAGCAATTTATTCCTTGATTCTTAGAAATTATTCTTAATACAACCAATTAAAAAGTTTATGCAAAAAAAAAAAAAAATTTGATTTATTGTAATAGAATTTATAGTGTGTTCATTTCCACATGAACCATCAGATTTTGGGTGATCATGTCAAATTAGTCACATTCATGTCATTCTTCAAGGTAAGTGTGAAACCTCCAGTTTTTGTTTTTTAAGACGTTGATCATAAAGGGAGGGAAAGGTGGCAAACATGAGGAGGGGCAGATGGAGAGAGAGAGGTGGCAAACATGGGGGTGGGGGAGAAGAGATTGAGTCGGCAAACATGGGGGAAGAAAAGATTGAGGTGGCAAACATGGGGGGGAAGAAGGGATTGAGGCGGCAAATGCTGGGTGGAAAAGAGGAGGGAGAGGCGGCAAATGCTGGGTGGAAAAGAGGAGGGAGAGGCAGCAAATGCTGGGTGGAAAAGAGAGGCAGAGGCAGCAAATAAAGATAAGGAGAGTTGGTAAATGCTGGAAAGAAAGAGGGAGTGGGGAATGAAAAAGAGGGAATGGGAGGTGATAGTGGAGTGAAGAGAGAAAAAAGGAGTGGTGGAAAGAAAGAGAGGGAATAAGGGAAAGAATGAGTAGGAGTGTGGGTAAGCATGGAGGTGGGGAAAGAAAGAGAATGATAGGGTAAACACTGGGAGGGAGAAAGAGAGGGATAGTGAGTTAATCCCCGGGGAGGGGGACAAAAAGAGAGAGATAGTGAGTTAATGCAGAGGAGGGGAGGAGAAATAGATATAGTGAGTTAATGCCAAGTGTGTGTGTGTGGGGGGGGGAGAGTGAAAGAAGTGATAAACGTGGGGAAAAAGTGAAGGTGAAGGGATGAATGTTAGGGGAGGGAATGAAAGAGAGGAATGGTGGCAATTGTGTGGAAAGCATGGGAGAGGCAGAAAATATGTGAGATAAAGAGGGAGAAACACAGGGAAAGAAAGAGAGGAATCAAACAGACAAAAAATGAGGGCGGCATTGAAAACTGAAAAAAGAAAGCAAAAAAAAAATTACATTTAGGCAAAAAAATAGAAAAATAATACAGATTGCTGCTCAGTTAGAAATTTAATAATAAAAACCGATTATTCCACAATTTTTAACATTCAAGTGGAATAATGTTCTTCCACTTTGTTTAATTTCATGCAAAATAAATAACAAAACACATTTTCATTTTTTTTTTCCTCAACAAAATTAGATAATACTAGAATATTTTTAAATAACTGAAGACACTTCCTTTTTCACAAATTAAAGTAGAAAATTTACAGAAACAGCAACATAATTAAAAAGCAAAAAAGCTGGCAAAATTTACTCAATTTTGTGAGCATGGTTCCTTAGAACAAAAGGTAAAAGTAAGAAGTGAATAAACTAGACAGCTATTTTCTTACCTTGTATATCTGCAGCATAAAGACTTAAATACTTTAATTTGCGTTTTTATAATTTAAGTATTGCTAACCTCCTGCTCACATTCCAGATCAGTTCATGAAAACAGTTTTATGTAATCTCAGTCTTTGAAAATGATAAACTCTTTTTAGTAGATTGGGCCCTGACTGATAATCATGAAACTGGTCACTTTGGTGAGTCTTCAATGAAACATTAATGATTACAATGCAAAACCTGTCAGATAACACTGAAAAATGTATTGAGAACTGAATTATGGATTTATTTAAGGATGATAAGTACAGAAAAAAAAAAAAAGAGAAAACAGTTTGGCTTATCTGGTTTCAGGAGTTAAGAATACCATTACAAATGCTATGATAAGATCACAAAAAAAAAAAAAAAAATAATTTCACCCCCAAGTAAATCAATAAGGCCACAAAGACAAGGGGTTACTGAGTGTGAAAGAATATTAAAGAGAGAACAATACAAAGAACAGGAATTAAGAGGGCAAATGATATGACATTGATTTAAATTTTTAAAAATCCAAGTTGACTGGAAAGCAAGAAAGCAGAAGAGGGTTCCGCAAGCAAGAAGTGTGAAGGAAGAAACTGTTTACATACAATGGACACAATTTCAACTGCAAAATGATGAGACTTAACTGCCAATCTAGTATTGCACTTAAATTTGTAAAATCACGGTACCAAAGAGGAAAGCTCATCAGAACAATTACCATGGAAATATTTAAAGAAAATAAATATTTATAGAAACAAATATTTATAGAAAAAAAATAAAATAGAAAAAGAATTTAGCAAGATTTCTGGCAGATGTGCTGTTAAGCCAACTAGTTTTACCACTTTTTACTTACTGGCTTGACCAACAGAAATTGTTGTAGTTATTCACATAGAAAGATAATTATATAAAAATACCAGTGTGTATGCGTGTTTACCTAGGATTAACAAAAAAAAATATACACAGAACTGAAAAAGTACAGTACCAAAAATCTTCAACTGTCTGCTTTTTCCAAGGTATAACTGATTCTCACTATTGCTAAGAAGAGTTGGAGTGTGTGATTGGGAAGATGGAGAAAATTGTAGCTAATGGATGGTACACAAATCAATACCCAATCAGTATTGGCTAGGTCACCGCAGAGAGGGAGTATGATGTTGAAAGACCTGAAACCCCTAATGAACCCCGGCTAGAAACATTCACTGATGACGTGTACCAGAGCATCCAATAAATGTATTTTATGAGAAGAAAACTATTATAATTGTAAATAAAGTTTGTAACACTGTAACAGTCAATATATTTGTAAAATTATAGTTGGTTTCTTTTGACTTGTAATCAATTTCAGTAACCCATTTCCTTAAGTTAAATAATCCATTAAGACTGACTGCAACATGTGTCTCCAGTTTGCTGCAGTCAATCACATTTCTCTCTGTGCACCTGATTGACAGCTAAAATTTGCATATGTTTAAAAAAAAAAAAAAAAAAAAAAAAAATGAAAGTCTGTCTGACTCAATTTTTCCTTTTAGGATATTTTACATGTGAGACACATCCAAATCAGTTTTCGTCCTAGAGGTAAGCCATTTTTTCTAATGTTACATTGACTGTTGCAAAACATGCAAGCAACCCTGGGCCTCTTTAACTTCTGAGGTAGTCCAATACAATAATGATCCACTTTTTGTGTTTGTTACCATCACATAGCAAAAATAGCACATTGTTGCACAATTTTTATTAGAACATTTTAATGCTATTTATGGTCACTTGAAGACTAAGGCAATTTCTTGTCCAAATGGGCAACAGGTTTCCAAGTAATTTTAAATATGTCCAAGGAAATAATTCCTGGTCTATTAATTGCTAATTATAAAGTAATTACCCTTTGTCTGCACATGTGGAACATCATTAAAAAATTGTAGAAAAATTCAATAGATTTAAGTAAAATCACTAAAAACCCCAATTAACACATTTTTGTGCAAAAAGTAGGCTCCAATTTGAATTTCCACATTTGCATTTATTAAGCAATTAGTAACGTTATTTCAAATGCTATCAAAAGCCATCAGATTTCAGCTGAGCCCACTTGTGTTGTCTGCTATGAAATTTGAGTGCTCACTCTCGAAAATGATCAACAATATTTTCCCCCCTAAAAATAGACATCTAAAAATTTTGATTTATTAACCAATAAACTTCTGAGTTTAGTAATTCTAACTTAGTTTCCTGGAGCCTATTCTCTGTTATAAATATAATTGTGTAAATTAATTTAGTCATTAGTTTTTCTGTAGACCTTTGACCAGAATTCATTGTGGTTGTGAACTACTGATTAATTTTCATATAATCAATTATTCAACATTTCACATATTTATTGAGTAATATCTTGCAATAGTTCCATAATCTTAAAATAAATTAGCTACCCGTTAAAATATCTGAGCAATGTTGTCAACAAATATTAGTAGTAGTTATAACACTGCTGTTATTTGCTGATTGCCACTACTAGAAAATTATACCCACTCATAAAACAACGTAAATATGTGAAACTCTCCTTAAATAGACACATTCTGTTTTCTCTATCATACTAATACATTGATTCTGTGGTGTTGTGAAGAACAAAAACAAAATATTTTTGTGAGACTGTTTTGCGAGGGCATTTGTAATTTCTTTCTTTCAGCTCAAAAGAAAACTAATAAGCAACAATAAAAATTTATAAATAAAAGAAAATAGAGATACTGTTTTGCAAGGATCTTTGTAATTCATTTTTTTCAATATGAATGAAAACAAATACTTATTAATAAAATTTATTTAAGTTTGTAGTGCTGTGTTTGAAAATTATTTCTTTCATGACTTTCTGGATGCCTCTTTTCGTCATCTCTATTAGTGATATTATATTATTAATAATTACAATTATAGTGATTAGTAGCATTTGCAGATAACTATCATTTTCCAAGTAGGAAGTGAATATGCTTTCATTTATTCTAACTATTGTTTTCATTTTGATTATTACAGATATAGACCCAACATTTTGACCAAGTACTCTGGCCATCTTCATGCATCTATTTACAAAATAGAAAAGAACACCTGAAGATGGCCAGAGGGTAATTGGCCAAAATTTTGTGTCTATAATGATAAATTATAGTGTCTATAAATGATCACAATAGTTCAAACCAAGTATCTTTGTGACACTATTTAGCTATGGTAACTAATTAACTATAAAAATTGAATGGGGAAATGCTGAAAACAGAAAAGAAAGGTTAAAAATTATCCTGAGGAGTATACCGTTTGACATAAAAAAAAAAAAGAAAAAGATTTTGCTTTATTTTCCAAAAAAAATCTAGTTTTCTCAAGAAACCAAAGAATTGTTTCAATGGTAATTTCACAGAAAGGCCATGTGACAATCTTTGACAATTGATTAATGCTGGCTGTGAAAAGTGCTGGGCAAGAAAATACAAAATAACCAGAACCAACAAATATATTGTTTGAAAGTGTATAAGATATTAAGTACACCAGTAAGGAAGTGGTCAGGTGAGAGGGCCATGTGTTAATTGTAAGAATTTTGGCAGGGAGAAAGGGAAATTGCATAAACAAAGTTCCAGTTCATAATTCTGACTGAGAAATCCTGAATAAGCAATGATGTCATAGAGTTAACTAATGAAACAAGCTTACCCACACCAGCATGATTGAGATGCCATTGGTCGTGTGGTAGCAGAGGTAAAATAGTAAGAAAAATGGAGAAGTTACTAACGTCCACCGAAAGGAATTGGTGTGAGATACTAATGTGTGGAGGAGGGAGTTTAGGAGGATAGCTATCCTGCAACCTCTCCTTATGGACAAAGGGACCCCCCCTCACCAGAAATAGGAAGTAATTAATTTTCCAAAAATAGTAAGTGATTAATTTTCCTAGCCAGACAAGAAAAGGACTCTTGAAGGAATCGGGGATTTGCTGAATACCCCAGGCTGTGTCTAACCCCGTAGTGGGTTTTGGTTGAAGTCCATATAAGCGAGTGCCCTCGGGTAGTTTGCCAATTCGAGTTAGTTCGCGTTTTGCAGTTGGAGAGAGCTGAGAGATTCCATGACACCTGCTGACACAACGAAAGCCACCAACTTTGCCTTCCTACAAACAGCAAGTTCTACTGATGAAGCTAAGCCAGCACTTAAAAACTAAACTAGTTGACTTAGAAGACCAGAACTTGCCTAGAAGTATAAAAGTGTCACTTTCAGAAAAAACAGGTTGGAAAGAAAACACACTCCTGTATAGAACAGACTGATAAAAGTTGATTTGCTTTCTTTAAACATACCCAAACCATTTTGGTTTTCATTTATTTCTTTTTTTTTGCTTGTGCAACGTCACCTCCAGTTTAGACTCACCTTGCACTATGGCCCTGGTGCCTGATTGATCTTGTCAACCTAAAATCAAATTCACAACGTGGGTTGGTTAGACTTGAGATCAAGATAGTTACTTCAGTAATCAATCATTGGAAGCGAGCTGAGAACGATGGAGCAGGTGTCAAACCAGTTGTATCTGG